GCCAACATAATTGATTCCTGCCAGAGGCAGTATGAATTTATATCTTTACCCTTGGCTTGACTTTTAGCCTATATTTGTTTAGCTGTTTAAGTTGTTGTAGTCGTGTATTTTGACCATCCCTTTGGCAGTCTCATTGTTGACACACTTCACTTCCCCCACATTTGAAGTCATAATGACTGAAAATATTTTTGAAAGAAAGCATGTAGGCTACAACTAACTACTGTATCACTCTAATTCCAGGTGGTGATGCTTTTCTCAGTTAAAGCCAGCTTTGTTTAGCATAAGATATATTTCCTCATAAGGAAGTTCTGACTTAATATTTAAATTGTAATCTAGATATTACATTAGCTGTGATATACAGACCTTAAAACATTAAGACTTAATTGGGAGTGTTAAGAGATCAAAGTTGTTTTTAAGGTGGCCAGAAGATAAATAAAGGACTTAAATTGCCTTTTATTGAAGGAGAGAAGGATCAATGTTCAGAAAAAGCATTTTGAAAATGAACAGGCCAAGCTGTTGTTCCCTGGGAGATCCTATTATTTAATACATCTGCTTTGTTTTCAAAATAATTCCTTTTAAATAAGTGTTTTAGAATTGATCAGGATCCCATTGTGTTTGAAGACAAGACAAAGTGACAGTGCCAGCAGAGCTCATTTACTGATGTAGAGGTCCAGTAACAGTGGAAGGAGGAGTGCATGTTCCCTTGCAGTGTTGAGATGGCTGTAAAATACCCTGTCCTTCCGTGACTCTGAGCAGAAATAGGGATGGTTTCTTTTTAATCTAGGAAGGATAGGCTGTGGTCATAGAGGACTGCAGGTCTTTTACTTCTGAGTAAGGTTTCAGGATTAGTCTCTAAGTCACATCCCCTTAATGAAATAAGAAGCTAGGCAATTAGATGTTAGATGCTTGCAAGTTAAATGTTTTAATCCCCAATGTGAGGTTGGTTTCCCTTCAGCATGGAACCACAGCTCAGCTGTTTGTGGCCAAAGCTCCCTATGCTCCACTATCAGAGTTCAGTGCCCTCTCCTGAAGGCAGGTGCATAAACTTTCCCTTTCAAGACCAGAGCATGGGTCACTCTTCGTCTCATCTTTCTGCTGCTGAATGCGTTTCCTGTAATTTGCACAGTAGTCTACTAGCTGTGCAACCAGGAAGCTGAAGAGCTGAAGCTATTGTTCAGTAATTGCTGCCTCTGAGCTATAGCTTAGCCGAGACCACCCTTATCTTCTGTTTAGGTGGAAACTGTTTCACTATCTAGAAAATGCCAATTTTCATAGTCCAAAGAGAGTATGGACAGGTAGCATGCCAAGTGCTGTGCTCTATTAACCAGCCTTTGGGTACATAAACAATCACTCATGGGTTGTGATGCCTAACCTTTCTGTCTTTTTTTCTCCTTAACGTGCTCCATTTTCCTTTTATTCTTAGACACCTTGCTTGGACAAACACCAAGTTTCAGGCTCCCAGAGAGATCTGGACATGAAGTTATTCAGGCATCTCAAATCTCTGTAACTTGTGGGTATGTGTAGAAGCAGCCTTTATGCTAGGGGAACTTCAAAGTGAGAAAGTGAGACCCTGAAAAAGCTCAGATGCCTTTGAAGAAGGGAGTTTGGTGACAGGTGGGCAGAGCCTTATTAGGAAAGGGGTTTTGGATTGATGACTGGTCAAAGACAAAGTCACTGGAGTCCTTTAAAAGTTACTGGCTACTCAATTGAAAGCCAACAGACAGTAGTCAGCCATTTGTGTGCCCCTGTGCCCTTGCAGGGAGCAGACTGAGCAGAGGTAACCACATTCCATGACAGCGCGTACCTGTCAAGATTGCACTTCACTCCCCCTGCTTTTGTTTTCTGGGCCTGGGGAATCTGATTCCAGTTCTCAGAGCAGAATCTGTAAAGCTGTATCAGGGAGGAGTGCTCCCTCTTGGTTATTTGCTGGAGCTGGATTTCTTCTGATGAGAATCCATGTCTTGTTCTGGGAATCATTAACTCAGAATTGGACTGAATCTTTTGCATAGTAACTTAGTGCGCAAGTGTTCTCAGACCAGCACAGGTTTTTTTGCTCACTTCCTCTTCATTGTTCTGAAGTGGAATAGTGCCAGCAGAGGCTCTGCTGCTTTGATCAGTGCCCAGAGGTAGGCTGTTAAAGGTTGCACAGCTGTGAGACAGACAGCATAGGCAGTAGCACGCTGGGAACTTTTTGGCAACTGCAGCAGTCGGTCAGACTCCTCATCTGTCAGATGAGTAAGTTAATGCTGCAGTTGTTTGCATCTCCATTGGCATTCCCTACCTGCACACCTCCCCAGATGTAAAGGCACTTCCCAGTTCTGTTCAGGATCAGCAGATGTATGGCACCTCCCTTGTCATGTAGTCACTGTTGGTGTTTGAAACAGAAATGTCACTACAAAAAAGCAGGAAGACCTCAGTGGCTTTTCAGCTATTTCCACTTTATGAGGAGTGCCTGTACATGTGGAGTTCTATCTAGTACAGCATACTGCTGGATGCTGGCACATATTTGCTGCTGTTTACTGTCCAAAGTATCATAAAGAATGAAACTGTTGTGATTTTGAAGATACAGTTTCAGGAAATGTGTTTAGTTGTGGGCTTTTTCCCCCAGTAAACTAATACGAAAATCGTTGCCTCAGGAGAGCAAGCAGCTGAATTTACAAGAGACTGTGCATTGTTGTATAGCAGCATTTCAGCCTTACGCTTAGGGGAAATTGACTTCAAGGATGAGGAAGCAGAGCCATGGAGCCATGTATCTGCAGTGGTTGTGGCTGGATTTCTCATCCCATTGCTTTCCAATGAAGCATTAAATACTGACTGCTGCTGGAGACAGGATATTAAACTTGGTGCAGTCATGTATGTGCTCCTCAGAGCTTTTCCTTCCTAAGTGGTGAATGAAATTGTTTATTAGAAAACTTCTGTTCTATTTCTTATAATTAAAGAATATAATAAAAATCTTATCTAATGTACCCATAATTTCTACTTTTTACTTACAAAAGCAGGTTTAAACCTGCCTGCAACTCCTGTTGTGCTTACAAGCTGGCAATGTAAAATGCTTTGTCAGCAAAACAAGTAATTACATCTAACTTTCTGCTGATAACTTTCTGGGATTAAATCATTATATTCTTGCCACCTCAATCCCAGGATTTCCTATAGACACATGCTTGCTGAATCACAATTTTGAATTAGTTCTTATATTTTTTTATTTAAGCTCTCAGCTTTGTATACTCACCTTTATCCTGTTCTAGCTTCCTATCAGGTCGAAAGTTGGTCACAAACCTCTTCACATTGTTGCTTTGATTTTACCAGGAGGGAAACTGGTGTTGGGGCTCAAAGGGAGCTATAGAATGCAAAGGAGACATTGAAACTACCTGGTACTAGACCAAGTGTGAGCAAAGATACCAGAGCATCTACTGAAGTGCTGTGCTTACAGGGTCAGAACATAGCAGCTACATCACTGAGACTACTTCTGAATAAATTAAAAGGATAAAAAGGTGCAGGCTAAGGACAGCGCGTTCTGTCTTCTGCTGCCAAGTGGCAGGGTCTGGTGCTTGTCCACAGTGAGCAACCTGTCAGTTCTCTGCCAAATCATGGGTGCCCTCATCCAGCCTGCCTGCTGGAGATGGTTCTGGCACCTGCTTCATTCTGCATTATCCAGGAGAGTGTGAGGTGGCCTGGGCCAAAACTCTGAAATGTGTTAATTGTTTAACAGTATGACCAGTACCGGATTCTCTGCCTTAACCTTCTTTTACTTACTAGTAGTCCTTTAGCCCAGCATGTTTGCTTACTAACAGATTTTTATTTATTTTTTTTTTTTAATTAAACACATAGCCATAGAAATGTTGTCTCGGAGGGGTCTCCAGAGGTCCAGCTTCCTGGATAGAGCAGAATGGAGCTGGGTCGGAATTAATGAGTTCTAAAGGTAGCTGGAAGGATTTAAAAAGAGGAATGCTTTTTTTTTTTTTTTTTTTTTTTTTTGCTTTCAGTGGGATTTGGCAGAATGCAGTGCTAAGTCCGTTGCACTAGGTAGTGTGTCCTCCTTGGTGACTCTAACATGGCATCAGTCCTAGACTAGCTTTTTGCCTTGGATGAGTATCAGCACTGCTTGCCTCTGCAGTGCTGTGGGTGGCATGGTGGCAGCTGTGTGTCCTCTGAGCAAGCTGCAACTGTCCTTGATCTCTCTTCAGTTAAGGGTACACAATTTCCTACTAATACATGAATCATGTCATAGTTCTACCTCTACTGCAAAATTCCTGCTTGAATACTTTGCTTTATAATCCTCTGCTCAACTCAGTAGTGTATTTAGCATCTCATTTCTTAATGTGGGAAGGAGGTTATTTGAGAAGCAATTGGTGTTTCCCACTGGAGTGTGGGGAATTTCTGAATTCCAGCTATTTATTGAGCACTAAATTGGTATATGGTCTTTGTGACTTCATTGTCTTTTATGTGTTCATAGTACTGAAGTTACCAGGAAGATTTTTTATAGGGATGATATGAACACTGATTAGATCCCATGTATTTGGCAATGGAAACTGTAGGGTTCAGAGTGATTTCTTCTTATTAATTTTTTCCTTGTTTGTGAACATTTCTTCCTCCCATGACAGCCAAGGGAGGGACCAAATGAGGGTGTTTGCAAATAAACTCCCATTTTTTAACTTGTTTGAAATTTCACAACATAGCCTAGAAATCAGGGATTCTATTGACATCAAAATGGGTAAAATACTCCCTGAAAGCAATCTGTTACACATTTTTCTAGACAACCATCTCCATAAATGTCCAGCTAGAGTGTGACTTTCGATGTTTCTTTCCTATGGCATCACTGTTTCCTAATTAATTATCTTCAATTTTGTACTAAATGGTAATTCAAGACCACAAGTGACAGTGTTTTGGGACTTGTAAGTAAAAATTACTTTGGAGATCATGAATGCATTTTCTGCAGCTGGATGTTTCAGTACCTCATTGCCTCTGTTTCTGTTACAGGTGCATGTGACAGCATCGCAGCGATGAGTGGAATTTTAAAGAGGAAGTTTGAAGAAGTTGATGGCTCCTCACCTTGCTCCTCTGTGCGGGAATCAGATGATGACATTTCTAGCAGTGAAAGTGCCGACAGTGGTGATAGTGTCAATCCATCCACTTCTAATCATTTTACCCGTAAGTACTAAAGTTTTATATCTAAAGAATTCTTCCTGTTCCTCAAAATAAAATAATTTTTACAGTTAGATAGACATGATGAAAATTGAACAAATGAGAAAATGGACTCACAGTGGTGTTGAGTTTGTTACTTGCTCAAAATGGCCCCTTTGCCTTCTTGTATACTGTATAGGACTATTTCTCACTGTAAAAATCTGAAGTCACTTTTAAGCCCCCACCTATTTGTGTTGAATTTTGTAGCTGATGTAGTTAATGTTGGGAGTTGTGCTTAAAGTATTTAAAACAGGTACTGTAGAGAAGCTGCTTTAGGTGAGTTTGTTTAATTTCCTTATGTAAATGTAGTGGAGCTGCCAGCTACCTGCAGTATCATATCAGTGAGGGTTTTCCAAAGAAAATAATAATGCTCCTCAGTTCCAAAAAGCTTATTTGTAGGACACATTACTGCAGTTATTCCTATTCTTCATGTAGGGGAGTGTATCTGTGTACTGGGCAATGGTTTTGTGTACATATAACAATTTGGTTGTAAGTTAGCAAAGCCATGTGTGCAGCATACATATCTAGGAGGAATGAATTTACAGTTTTTATTTGTAGTTTATGATACTTGTTTTAGGCGGTTATACTGTTTTATAGTGAACTGCATGTTTTAAAAAGCAGGGGTTTGCCTCCTTCAACACTGTTGCATATAGATCTCCCCACTGGCGTTAGTGGTTATAAATCTGTTTTCTTCAGACTGTGGACCAAGGAGTAGATGAGGCTTCTCATCATTGTGATCCTTGTAACTGTGTGGTTTAGATTGTGCCTAGAAAACATTTGTAGCATGTGGTATCAATGTTCTTATGACTGATTAATTGCCAAGTGCTTCTGTGCAGTTTGAGCTAGAAGTTGGATGTGAGGGTCCAAATCCTCTTTGCTGTAGTATGGAGCACTCTTGTGCAAAAGGTTACGCAGGCAGAACTTTTCAAATTGTGTGTTTATGTGTAAAAATCTTGATGTGGTATGATAATTTAAGAGAAAATACTAGTAGGGTACCTATTTTATTGAAATGCTACAAAGAAGTAAGTGTCCCAGTAAATTTCTTTGGTAGTATTAAGAAATACCTCAGTAACAATATTATCTACATGCTGATCTTTTCATTTCTGTAACTCTTTAAGGACTTAGATGATTATTCATCATAGACTGAAAGCAGACCTTTTATATTAAAGTCATCACCATCCACATGTAATTCAGGGGAGAAACCCAGAAACTGTGATAGATGCATGTAACAATAAGTTTAGTTTTAGATGACTCAGTAAATAGTTTTTTAACAAAATCTGTAAGGGAAACTATAGTATTTCAGTGTTATGAATTCTACATTTTTAAAGAATTCTACATTAAAAAAAAACACATTTATATATCAGTTAGATTTTTAGCAGATTTTCCAGGAGGCTCAGTTCCATGATCTTGCCAGGGGCAGAGGTGAGACTGACTGGCCTGTAGTTCCCTGGATCTTCCATTTCCCCATTTTTAAAAATAGGGGCTATGTTACCTTTTTTCCAATCAGCACGAACCTCACTAGAGCACCATGACCTCTCAAATATGATGGACAGAGGCTTAGCAACTGCATATGCCCACTCCCTCAGGACCTGTGGATGGACCCCATCAGGGTGATACCAGTTAGTGATATAGACAGTGAATGGCTTGCATGTGCACTGATACTACTTTTCAAAAAGTATTGTCTTTAAGACAGATGCAGCAGCTTAAATTCTAAGAAATCAACTCAGAACAATTCCAGTATTACATAAGACTGGTTTGAGAAGAAAATTTAACACATCCTTGGTGCTGCATTTGAATAGGCAGATCTCAAGGTCCTCAAGGAAAAGGCTTTTGGAGACAAGTTTCTGTGTCTGTTTTGCTATTACTGTAATGCAGTGTACTTGCAGTAATTTGATAAAGGTACTGATTTTTTATTGGTAAGAAGATAGAGCCGGTGGATGCTCAGATGAAGTATAGAGTGGTAAGGTGGTTTTATCCCTACCTGGTGACTTGCATCTTCCATCCAGACTCTCTTCTAGTATACATAATTATTTTGCAACTTTACCAAGGACATTCCACACTGCACATGATGCAGCAGTCAGAGTTTTGTTATTTTATTGTTAAATGCTGCAAGTGAGATTTTGTACCTTCTTTCTTAATATTAAAGCATATAAGTCACTTAAATGTTTTCAGCGTCTACCAGTTGAGCAGTGTTAGAAAACCCCTTAGCTAACCTCAGGCACTTCTGCTGTGTGCAAGAGCAACTCTGCATTAAAAAGCTGAGTCTTAGTCATGATAGATGATACTAAAAGTTAATATGCATTTGCAATAAAAAACAATCATATTTATGTTTGAAGTAAATGTAAGGCAGTATAGATACTTCATAAATGCTGAAATATATTTTTTACCTGATGTTGACTATCTCTAGAAAAAATGAGGGTTTGTTGAAATTGGGGGTTTATTCTGGGTTATTTTTTTCATATTTTATTGAGACTTAATTTTCTTTGATTCCAGAAAGAATCATTTAATGGGACATTTGGCAATTTTTTTATACATGCAGGTTTTGTTTTCCTTTTGTTTTGTAACAGTTGGCTGACATCAGTTTTGTGTGTGATGTTAGATGCTGTTCAGGGCAGAAGCACCTGTTTTGTTCGTACTTAGGTGTTGGTTTTGGTTTTGCAGAATACTTGGAAATTGTCCATGTTCATATCTCCTGAACACAGGTGTCTTACAGAGCTACTAAGTGATGCTCACAATACAAAACCGTTAATAGGGTACATTAAAAGGCGTTTTCATTCTTTAAACACATTCACCTCCTAAACCAAAAGAGCTTTTCTGTGTTTTAATATTTGGATCCCAGCTTCTAAGGGCATATGGAGCGGAGACACTTTCAGTTAACAGACTGTAGAGAGCCAGCAGAGAAGAAAGGCTGGCCAAATTCCTTGCCTCTGTTACATGCCTGAGTGCCTCCTTGGTGGAGGTTATCTTTCTAAGCCATCTCCTGACACTTTTTTTACCATTTTCTCTCCCCTGTTGTCAGATACTGTCAGATCCTAAGTACTGTTTTCCTTCTGGTCTGTTTCCACGTAAGTAAATATGAAGTTGAGTATATACTCACTTTTACTCACTGGAAGCATGCAACTGAGTAGGTTGTGTGTGACTGGTAGTCAACATCGAGATCTGTACGTAAATTCTTTAACTGAGCTATTAAAAAGTCTAATGTGGCCCTCTAAGTCTTATTTTTCCTTTCTAACTGGCATGACAAAGAGATAATTTTCTAATCATTTGTAGCTACAACTCATTCACTGCTTCAGCAAGCAGGCACTTTGCATAGAAATCTATCTAGACTAGCTGATGCATCTCAGTATTTACACAGCCCTTGAAACAATATGTGTTGGGTCAGATAAACAAGAACCTTTCTTCTATCCTGCTCCATTAACTTTAAGGTCAGTTTAACCTGCCAGTTAAATGAGGCACAGAGCTGCTGCGGATCATTCCGGTGGGGCAGGACCATCGGAGGGCAGCTTTGATCCCAACAACTAATAACCCTGTAGTGTTTCTTGGTTGGATAAGCGTGTATGTAGATCTGCATATTTTTAAATCTCTTGCCAAATGCTGATGGAGTGCCTTCATTACCATGGGCAGATATAATCCCTACTATCTTTTTTACTTACTTTTCTCAGTCTATTGAGGTAATTTCAGTTTGATTCCGCAGGCCATTAGTCACACCACAGATTTACCTTAATGGATACCACAGCATATTATGAACCAAACCATGTACCTGTTCCATTTCATGGTCCCTACTCCGTACCAGAAAAAGGGGTATTCATCTTCAGGTAGCAGTCCAAGCAGGCATATACAGTATTAGTCAGGACTAAGAATATTTTTTTCCCTTTTCTCTAGTGGCAAATGGAATACAGGGTGGAGCACACCCAATGTCATTTCAGCTCCTTTAAATTTTCCTGTAGATCTAGGCCACCCTGCTGCTGTGTTTCATCAGTTCCACAGCAAGCTGACTTTGGAATTGCTGTTCAAGATGTCAGTATAATGCCCTGACAGTTCAAATGATTGTGTGTGCTGGGTTCCACACTTCAGCTCAGCTGTGTGGGATTCTTCTGGAATTGCTTGCCTCTAAATGCTTCATGTATTTTTCTGGTAAAGGAAATTATCCAAATTAATGTTGCAGAATTATATGTAATTGACAGATCTGGGCAGACCTCACCACTTACTAGCATCACTTGATGCTAGTAAAAACTCCCCATACCATATTAATCACAGATGCATCTCTTAAGAAACATACTTTGAGGAGCTGCTGCCCTGCCATTGCAACTTCAGTGTAGTGTAACTGAAACTTGCAGAGCAATGCTTCTATTGCAAAAGCTTTTCTTCACCTGCAGAGGCAGGTGAAATCTCCATCACCACCTCATCTGACAAGGTGATAAACAGGAGGTAAAACTGTTGCACAGTCTAGTTGATATCCTCCATCAATTATCTGTGTCTTGCCATTAACATTATCACTGCCATTATCAGGGTTATCCTGCAGCCAGCTGCAATCATAGGTCCTGTCATTCTGCCAAGTAGGGTACTGGAGTACGGGATGCCTTAGGTTCAGGATGAATGTGGCTGATCATCAGCATTGGTCTCTAAATGTTCATGTCAGCTTCTGATTTTGTGGCTACAGAAAATGAATTTGAAAACACAAATACCTCCCCATTGCACTTCTTCCTGTATGCCACTAAAAAGTACCGTTTTGAATATTGTAGAGTTGCTAACATACTGAGGTTCCCTCATCTATGTGGCCAAGCAGAACTTGGAAGAAAGTATGAAATATTTTAAAATTCTTAGGAAGGTCTGGCTTCTTTTAAATTATTTTTATGAGAAGGACAGTTTTATTTGGTGTGAGTTCAATAGCTCAAGGCATAATGTGAGCTTTGAGCTTAAGCTGTGTGCTTAATGGCTGGTTAATGATAGAAATCTAAAGGACTACA